TCAGAACTATTTCAAAATTATGTAAGTAAATATGTAACAGTATATTAAACTATTTGAAGTGTATTATACTTAGCGCATAAAATATATAAACCCAGAAATTCTCTCTTTATTTGAGTAGCTTATCTTATCTGAACGATTAATCAGTTATACAAGATGCATATATTATATATTTTTATACTCTCGCAACAAAGTTGCTAAAGAGAGTATTATAGTTTTGTTCACATAACGGTTGTTTGTAAGTCCTAAAACTAAAAGAGTCAGATATAGGGTTATATATACCAAAGTGATCAGGGTGACGAKTAGAGTTGAAATCCGGATGTCTGTCTGTCCGTCCGTCCGTCTGTCCGTCCGTGCAAGCTGTAACTTGAGTAAAAACTGAGATATCATGATGAAACTTGGTACACGTATTTCTTGGCTTCATAAGAAGGTTAAGTTCGAAGATGGGCAAAATCGGCCCACTGCCACGCCCACAAAATGGCGGAAATCGAAAACCTATAAAATGTCATAACTAAGCCGTAAATAAAGATATTAAAATGAAATTTGGCACAAAGGATCGCACTAGGGAGGGGCATATTTGGACGTAATTTTTTTTGGAAAAGTGGGCGTGGCCCTAGCCCCTACTAACTTTTTTGTACATATCTCGAAAACTACTATAGCTATGTCAACCAAACTGTATAGAGTCATTTCTTTTAGGCATTTCCATATACAGTTCAAAAATGGAAGAAGTCGGACAATAACCACGCCCACCTGCCATACAAAGGTTATGTTGAAAATCACTAAAAGTGCGTTAACCRACTAACAAAAAACGTCAGAAACACTAAACTTTACGGAAGAAATGTCAGAAGGAAGCTGCATACAGATTTTTTTTAAATTGAAAATGGGCGTGGCGTCGCCCACTTATGGACCAAAAACCATATCTCAACCGATTTCAATGAAATTCGGTATATAATATTTTCTTAACACCSTGATGACATGTACCAAATATGGGTGAAATCGGTTCACAATAACGCCTGAAATCTCGATTACTTTATCATGCGAGAGTATAAAATGTTCGGTGACACCCGAACTTGTTTTTATTCGTGTTGTTATATACTCGTATGTTCTTATATGACCAAAAGCCAAATATTTATTAAAAAAAAAATGATAACGATTAACATAATCGATAACATGTAATCGAGGAATTGAATAAAAGTTATCGTATTACTATATCGAACATTTTTTTATTTACTATTATTGTTTATATTTATTATTGTTTATATTATTTAAACACGACTCGCTCAAGACAGTGATTTACATTCATGCATATTTATGTATATCCCACCCAGAATTGTCAACTCGCCAGAATTCCTTCACATTTTCATTACTTTGGAAAGTTTTGTGCCGCTACAATAACAAAGGCAATCCCATTTCTCATCTTTCATACAAGAGTGTTGCTAAAAATCATTAAAATTGCGAAAACTTTCTGAAGAATATTTTCAGTAAATTAAACTCGATGATGGAAATTATGCTTTAGGCTTAAGACTCACACAGTTGGTGTGACCTCACAGTTTAGAATCTAAATACCCCATATTGCACTCACGAGAACTCTCAGAAATTTCCCATAGCATAATTTTATATTGACATCGCTGTTCTTCCCTTGCCCTTATTGAATGAATATCCAACTGATCTTTTGATCTTTGATCTGACTGGCTTGAAAAAAGAGATAGTGGAACTGAGTRTGTACGTTGACTATGACTCAAAGTTAGCTAACGCCGAAATAGGCCCAATAGATCAATAAATTCACCTAATAATGAATAATATTTTCCCAGATCTAAACTTTTTTAGTACAATTTTGCAAACTTCTTGAAATTATGCATTTATCTTCAATGTTCCTTACTTMATTTTTATATTTTTCCTATTTTACAACTATTATATTGAAACGGTCTTTAAGTAAATTAGTTTTTTAGTTCAATGTAAACACGAGTTTTTTATGTGTAAACTATTTTATGAAATTATATATTCTCCATTATGATCCAATACCTTTTGTCAACTTTCGATTAAGAGATTGATTACACGCTCATACAATGTTCGATTCTTGCAGGCAGAAAACTGGTCCAAGTGGTATTGACATATGGATTTGAGGTGAAGGCTTTCCCATACAAAAAATTTTACAGAGACCGTTACAAGTAATAGTCCGAAGGTGCCATGTTTGAAGAAAATGGTGGGTTAGGTACCACATCCCGTCTAAATTGCAAAAGCTTTGGCGGTCCATCAAACTTAYATGAGCTCTAGAATTATATTGGTAAAACACTACACATTTTGTACTAATCAATTATAGCCTCTTTGGTTWGAGTGCATCACTTATACCACAATAAACTTCAGAATTAATCTTGGTATTTTCCAGCGAAAGCTCAAAATAAATGATATTTTTAAAATCCAGCGAACAGGCAACATAATCTATTTTTAATTACTATCGTCTTGCGAAGTAGTTTGAGCTGTTTCATCGCTTTTAGACCATGATCTTTTGCGCTTTACATTCCTGTGAATAAGTAATATCTGCGTGAAAGAGCAGTCAATAGTCGAGTTGTCTTTCGATAATTTACTTCGACCAACGACTTTATTTCATCCACATCGGCTTCAAGAGTCCTTCCARGACGAAATTGCCGCAACGAAATTTTGCAAACCACATGATTTTCATTATGCTTGAAATGCATTTTTGCCCTTTTGAGAGTAAAGCACTAAAATGTGCCGAAAATGCTGTTTTCGAACTTCCATCTTCGATAGGACAGCAAATAAAAACTATTCCCCAATATTTAAGAACAACAATACACAAGCCTCACTACTTATATCAGCTGTTCAAATGTATAACGGTAAAGCGGTTAAGTGTGAAGTTGGCTGTGAAAAAATTCAAAAAGATCAGCTGTTGTCACGAAACGAAATTACTTAGGGCCACTTTCTTAATGTCTGCATAGCAGTCATCTGTCATTTAAGTTGTGGTTAACTGAAGCTAGACACCTTTTTTCGGTAGAGAACCTACTTTTTTAAACAACACTTAACCGGCAGTTGGCTGCTAATCACGCATTGAGAATRCGGCCTTTAATGAACGACCCAATGACTGCATAGATGTCATTATAGACGGTATATAAAATTTGAAATTCCATGATTGGAGTCAAGATAATACATTTTTAAGATCGCAAAAAATATGGCATCGACACTTCTGAAAAATCTTCGATATTTGAAGACCTGAGGCTGAAACTAAATTAAAAATGGTAATCAAAGTCGAAACATTTTTCGACAAAAGAAAATATACAAAGTGCAGCTTTTTCACTTCCAATACACTTGTTACCCAAATCCACACATAAATTGTGATCAGGAATCCACGSTCTTCAATCTCACCTTAAAGTGCAAGCASAGCCAACGCGTCCAATTCACCCAGCGCCATTGCGTTTTGACCGTTACCACCGGCGGAAGTGGCATATCATTGCCGCTCGTTACATATGACAGTGTTGTTGTTGGATCATTAGCAGCGCTCCCCGATGCCGATTGATTTTGACTTAAATTAGCTAATTGATTTTGTAGTAGTGCACGTTTGGTCAGCATTAGCTTAGAGTCTGGACTAGCGGTGCAAATATTGTCTGTGTCTAAATCAGTGATAGTTGTTGTTGTAGTTGTTGCTATGGAAAACGATATATTGTCCTCGGATATGGAAGTTGCATTGTTTGACTCTATTAAAAACTGCTGTTGTTGTTGTTGTTGTTGTTGTGCACTGGCAGCCGAAGCGACGATCATTTGTAAGTGTGCTTGTGTCGCTGGCAAAGCAAGCGCGGCATTTTTCTTCAGCAAATTAAAAGCAGAAGCATCCATCACGACATTAGCGACATCTGCCGTTGTGGGCGTCGATGAAGTGGTGTGCGAGGCAGTGGATGTCTTCGAACCACTATTATCCTCCGTATCGGCTCTGGCGAAAATCGCTGGCGTATTCTTAGTGCGTTCTTGTTGTTGTTGAGCATGTGGTTGTTGTTGTTCAACAACAACGGTTATTTGTTCGTCGTCAAGATTGTTGGTCGTTAGTGGATTAAGCGTATTAATAGTAACAACTGCTATAAATTCATTCTTGTTGAGATCACTTGCTACATTCGCATTGGCATCCCTCGGTATATTGCTGATACTGTAGGTGCTGCTGTTGCTGCGACTGCTACTGCTATTACTRCGACTGCTGCTRCGGCTTTTGCTTCTGCTACGGCCAACGTTGCTATTTTTGYGCTCGCYATTGTTGTACAACGGTCGGATCGTCGTGGTGGCGACATTTAGTGTGGGGGCGGTGGCCACATCATCAACCAGTTGGTCGGTAATGGTAGCCTCATCATCACTTTCGTCAATTTCAAAACTGGTCGTATCGGCCTCTGTGATCTCACAGCTGGAGACTGGATCGTCTGTGTTGGAAGTTTCGGCGACATCATGAGATGCTGTGACATCAATGCTCATGACGGCGCAAAGTTTTTCAACTTACTTGTGTGGCAAATGTTAAACATTTGCAAGTAATCGATAATTTTTGTTCGATAACTTTTTCTTTGGTATCGATTTTTTCGATAAATTATAATTTTTTTATTTTTTGGGTTATATTAAATTTTTAATTCTATTTATCAATATATGATATTTCTTTGTTATCGATTTTTTCGATAAATTTTTTTGTATTTTTTCGGTTATAATAAATTTTTAATTCTATTTATCAATATATGATTTATTTTGTTATCGACTTTTTCGACAACTAATTTATTATATTAACGATTTATTCGATAAATTATTTATTTTACTCTCTTTTTTTTATTTAAAGCAATAGTAGTTGTTGTGGTTGTGTTGTTGTAGGTGATGTGTATGTTTTGTTGTATTGATAAAGCTGTTGTACTTAATGTTTGTTCAATGCTCACACCATTAAGGCATTTGGAATTCACAATCTAATTGCACACAATTTCGCTTGGCGTATCACACTCTTTCAAACGGACTGTGCTTCTTCTATTTTCTTCTTCTTCTTATTCACTCAATTATGCGCTCGATTTGACTAAATATTTGCGGTTAATTTGCTTTGGTTTTTGCATTTATAATCACAGCATGATTTCTTCAGCAGACATGGGCACATATGCATGTATGAATGTATGTGTGTAGGTATGTATAAGCGATCACTATGATTCTAATGATAAATATTTAACTGTTCGCCGTATTTAATTAAGCACTTTTGATTGGAATTATAAACTTTTATTGAGCACTCATTCATATAACAATAACGATCCACACAAACACACTCACATACGTATGCATATGTGTGTATGTGKGCCTCGTTATATGAATGCGTCAGCRCACTAAGCGGGGGAATGGTGGGTGTGAGAGCAAGGGCAGCACACAATTGATAAAATTAGTATTATATATTTTTAAATGAAKCGTTCGAAACGTGTTTTCACCAATTCACTTCATTGACTGCACGCGCGTGAACAAAGCATCGTTTCACTGCCGCCGTGAACCGTTTGAAACTGCAATCAGTCATATTCGCGACCAGCTCTGTGCCTCGCTGTTTTATCATACAGATGGTGTTAGTTTTTTACTTGTTTACAACTGTTATCTTCGGAGTTGTCTGTTTACGCACCGGCCTGTCAGCGGATCTGTCAGTTGCCAGCGTTTTCACATGTTGTTGATCTCTCTTTTGAGAACTTAATAAACGTTTGTTACATTTCAGTGAGCGCAATGAACAAATCGGCGAAATCTCAAGACACTTTTGCTTTGATTATTAGTTTTACTTTGAATATTTCACCCAACAATGCGCTTGCTTTTTGTTTATTTTTCTATTTTTTAATTTGTCAAATTTCACAAGAAATTTTCATGCACTTTTGATTTGTGTAGAAAAAACCCTTATGTGCTTTCCCGTATTTTTTGCTATTTTTATGTTTTATTGTAAAAATAAGAGAATAATAACAATGAAGTTATGTCAAAAACTGTATATGGGCTGCCAGATATATAGGTTATTTCTCCAATATTGTGAGGTGACGAAAATAGTTATTATTTGRCTGTAAAGGGTGGTTCGTGGTGTCAAGCGAAATTTTTAAAATAGCCTGGTCATAAAAATGTGCCGATTTGTTAAACAAAACAAAACTAAAAAAAAAAAAATTCAGTTGCTCCGAAGCTATAATACCCTTCACAAGAGTATTTCTTTTAGCAATTGCAGTATATGTATAACTATAGAACCTCATGTCGAATTAAAGTAACTTAAGAAAGAATATACATACATATATCTTGAAGGACGATTTTTATCTTTAGTTTGATCYATGAGTTTATATGACAGCTTTATGTTTTAGTCAGATCTGAACAGTTTGTTCGGAAATTATAGTGTTGCCTTGTACAAATGTCCATGCCAAACTTCGTGAAGATTTTTTGTAAAATAAAAAAGTATTTCATACAAAACCTTGAGTTTGATCGGCGAGTTTGTAAAGCAGCTATTTACTATATTGGTCCGATCAGAACAGTTTGTTCGAAGATTAAAGAGTTGCCTTGGAAAAACATCTATACAAAACAACTCTTGTAAAATAGAAAAGTTTCTACCATACCTGATTGATTTTTTAAACTAAGATCTCAGGAGTAAGTTCGCTGCGGTAAGCCCTACCTAGAAGCTTTTCGAATACTATTTCAATGGATATAACTGAGATAATTTTTTTTTCGAAATTTTGATCCATCAATRAATTATATTTATTTGTAATTCGAATGATTTTTGTAGACTAAAGACCATCTCCTTAACAAAAGCCTGCCAATTTAAATCACGAATCCTGCTGCAAAAGCTCCATTGCCTGAGCGATTTTTATATAATATTAAAAAAACAACATAAAAGTGAGGTTATGGATGATCGTTCTAAAGGAAGTACCACTAACGTAAAAGACGGAACAGAATCTAGATGTGACACATAATTATGTTACACCTTTAAAGAGCTCATCGTTGTAAGCACCAGCAAAGCGCAGCCTTAGCAGCCCCTACATTAGCTAGCCATAGGCGCTTAATTAGATAGACAAACATAGTTTTACTTGACAATTATTTTTTCGCGTWCTTTATCATTATTGACTTTTTCCATCACAACTAAGGCAGTAAAAGTTGGAAATAGCAAACAAAAATTTGCATTTACTAGATAAATAATAGATAGCACTGTAGTCCGTATTTTTAAATGTTTTAATTTCTATTTATAAGTCAAAGYATGTATGTTTGTATGAAGCTGTAAATTTTTAACGTTTATTATTTGCTTAACACAATTTTTGTTAACTTTTGTGTAAACAGTGCAAATTACAGATTGAACGCAAGTGTTGGCAATAAATTACGTATACGCCGTGTTGCACCGCATCTGATTAGCTGCGCTAGGAGGCGTGATATCACATTCGCACAAGCAAATGTTTGCGTTCAATATGCAGACATATAGAYGTACATATGTGTTTATATGCAAATTTTCAATTATTTTTTTTTTTACTTTCTTGCCATACAATAGGTATAATAGAGTACATACTTAATATAATACATAGTACACATATGTATATGCTATTATGTATAGGCTTGCGTGTGCAACTGTTTCCAGTGTCATGGCAGCTGACTTTCTGTAACTCGCTTATTGGTTTGTTGCAACTCAAACTCATTTTGTTTATGCATAAAAAAATTCCTTTGTTTGGGCATTCTCGAATTACAGCATGGAGAAAATACAATATACAAAAGCAAAAAAGTCAGAACGGGCAAACCCAGTTGGCACTAGCGAAAAATTAACAAAGTCAACGCACAAAAGAGATGCAACAACAAATTGTCGCATAGCTGACAAACATGTATGTAAGTGTATGTATGTATGTATGCATTTATGCAAGTATGTTTGTATATTTGGGCTTAATGAGCGTGCACATATGCTAAGTATGGCATGGAATTTTACAGCACTAATCAGCAAGAGAACACGGTGTATGAAGATGACATTTTTTCTTGCTTCTGTAATTTGCTTTATTACTTTATTGCCACTTCATTGCTTTATAATAATAGGGCCTTAGAAAATCGATARGACACTTCGTTCTGTGAACTCTCCGCTATGGTGCATGCATACATATAAATGTACATTAGCATTAAATAACACTTTCATTTTTGGTGTTTGAAAACTGGACATTAACTCGCTTTGATTTATGTATGTATTAACACACACGTATGTATGTATGCATACACACATTACAGTTATAAATAAACACTTTTYATTAAGGTTTGGCCATTAAATATTGATTGATGACACGTTTCGAACACTTTTTTATAATTATTTGTTGTACCACATTTGTTGTTTTGTTGTTCTCTAGTGACATTGAGGCAAACTTGCACTACAACAAAATTTTCGCGTTTAACAGTTTTTGTYTTGCATTAAATTTAGGCAAAATATTATTGACATTGCACAATTAATTTAAAAATGTTTTAGTTGGTTTGCACTATTTTCTTTAAAATTTGTAGAAATTGTAGAATTTTTTAGTWATAACTAAAATAAAAATGTATATAAAAGGAAGCCGAGTTTTCACGACCGTTCGCGTATGCACACGTTTCATTTTGCACACAAACGAGTGGGAAAAACGTATGAACGACGAAACTTTTGCTTTCCACCGAGCTTTCGATGTTTTTTATATATTTACATACATATGTATGTATATAATTGGCAAACGTTTGCTGCATTGGCCCRGGGCCAAATTTGCGGCCAAAGAATGCAACGAAATTTTTGAGAATCGTGTATTGAAGCGATGCATGGTAAGCATATTTAATAATATATAACAAAGATATATGTACATACATATGTATACATAACACAATGTAAACATAAAAAATTAATTTAAAAAAA